TAATAGTACAGCATGATTTATGACATTTATTATGGTGTCTTAAAAGAAATTCTTTTATTCTAAACCGGTCATACATTAAGGTTATTCAAAAAGTTTACAAAAAAACATGAGTGAAATTTTTTCATATTTTAATTTGTAAGTTATGTGATTTTGTGAGTAATGGTACACTATTATTTAAGATCTTTTAAATGCTCTCCTCGGAAATTATTTTTTTATATACGACTACTAAGGCTATTGCTAAACAGTAACAAAGAGTACAATTTCCTTATTTGCAATGAGTACTAGGTACTGAACAGTTGTTCTATAATAGCAGGAGAGTGAGCTATTTTTCATAAATGTTTTTTTTTTATATTAATATATAGAACAAGTTTATAGCTCTTAATTACAGTTCTCTATGAATAAGTAGCAAACAATATTAGTATTACATACATTACCTTTCTTTAATATTATCTTAAAAATATGTCTGTTAATAGTAGCATAAAAGACAGATTAACTTCTTTTTACTAAATTAAAACAAGATTTTATATCCTAAATTAAAAGATCTCTTTGTGTCTACTTGTTTATGTGATATATATATACCTCATATCTGCTTTCCATTATTGCATATAATGCATTATTTATAATCTGCATTTATTATTTTGCTCCTCAGTGTAGCTTCAGAATAAATAGTAATTCGCACGTTGCCCTTATTTTCAATAAACAGAAACGTTCCATGAAACGTGAGATCCATTAATTATAAAATCTCTTTCCTGTCTGTAATTGTTTGTCTTTTTATTTCCATCTGTCCTTCTTTCTCTTGACTCGTGCTTTTATTTATATTTTTCTTTAATACTATATTCCTTGCGTAACACTGGTTAGTATTCATTCCCCTTGTTTAATATTGGATGTGATTTTTTTTTTTTTTTTGAATCTTGTGCGCTTGCGCGTCGATTAAATCTGTGGAATAATTAAATACTCTTCGGTGGGAAACATAAATTGCATTACATATACATAGATGGTTTTCAATGATATCTATAAAGTGTGAGGATTGAACGTATGAATAATTAGATCCCTTGATTTGATAAATTAATATTTAATGTAATTATAGTAATATATAGCATATTGTGAATCTATTAGCTAGATAGATATATGGTAATATGGTTCTATAGATAAAATTTTTTTTTGTTGACTCAACAAACAGCGGCATTTTCAGAGTCTATCTATCTATATAAAGGAGTAAAAAGTTGTTAGTAAACTGAAAACTTTTTTAATGGATCTATCACAGAACAGACTCTTTCATTGGGTAAACAAATTTTTTTAAAATCAATAAAATCAATCCTTTTTATATTGTTCGATATGTGACCACCTTTTAGAATCAAGTTGAGAGGATCTTATTCATCAGACATTCGACTAAAATCACATTTTTGTAATCAGGGGGTTAAAAATGAAAAGTTCAGTATTTGAATTGCCAAATTTATCTCTGGTAGTACTGAGAACGAAGTATACGTTAATTATGGGTGATTAAGGAGAATATTATTTTTATTTAAAACAATATCACAAGAGAGTTTTTAAATTCCAAATTAAAATGTACTTTATAAATAAAAATATCTTTGGTAAATAATTTAACTTTGTATTAATTTTATCAAGATCTGTTCAATATTACTTTAGGTAATAATGTTTGTATATTTTCGAATATCATCTTTAAATGTAACCCATAAATGTGTAGCAAAAAGCAAAATTTGTTTAACCAAACTTTCTAAAAACAATTGTTTTTATGGGTGCTGAGCAAATGTCCAACAAGATATTTTTAAATTTTATATTAATCGAAAAAACTCATATCAATAAATATAGAATTTTGAATTGTTTTATATATAGAACATTTAATTTCAACTAAAGGAGAATTATAAAAATAATCAAAAATATCATACACTTAAATTATTTGATATTGATGCTTTATATATGATTTATTTGTTTCATGATATTTAATTATTCAAAATCAATCAATCAATTAATCCAGTACGTTCCCAGGGGAACGAACTTTTTTCAACAGTCACGATTTTTTGCCAGGGTTTTAATTTCTCAAAAGGTTTTTCTGCTTGCTTGGATTTCTTTCAAGCATATAGTATATATATATTATATATAAATATTTATACAGAATCTCGTTTGTTACTATTTTCAGTAAAAAAGCTGAACAAAAGGAATTATTTTTACATTTCATAGAATTATATTAAATTATTTGATA